ACAATCCCACAAACTGACCTGTACAACATCTGGACTCTCATTCAGCAGCAGCTGGATGCTCTGGATCAGACAGGCTCCTGGAAAAGGACTGGAGTGGATCGCTAGCAGCTGTTTCTGCAGATGAACAGTGTGAAAACTGAAGATTCTGCAGTTTATTATTGTGCTCGTCACCCACAGAGACTGAAGCTGGTGGAGCAGCTGGACATAAACCTGCAGGGACAGGATCGGGTCGGGTGGAGCTGCTACATTCAACCCTCCTTCTTCCTATGGACAAGCAAAGTAAATCTAACAAATGCACTCTGGCCAAGTTCCTTATTTATTCTTTTTATGTACTTTAAAATACTGTTTTTTTTGGTTTGTTTTTAGTGATTTTTTTCCCCCCTAAACAAACTCTGATGTCACTCTTATGCTGCAGCTCAGGATACTAAAATGTGTCACTAATGAGCTGCAGAGTCATAAAATAAGAGTTTTAATATTAGAGTAAATATGACTTGTTAAATGCTGGTGTTAGGCGGTCATCCATATTTACCAATATACTGTATAGAAACATTTTAGAGCTTTTATTTTTTTATTTAAAACATTGAACACTGTACAAAACACCTGTTAAAGCATGTAAAAAATAAATTAACATGTTACTGCTGTCTATACACAAAAACATATATGAAGTTTTTGTAGTCTGAAGCAGAGTTGTAAATGGTCGAACATCATGGTGAAGATGGATGGAGAGGTTTTTTTTTGGGTGGTGTCAGACTGAACTTCTTTGGTTTGAAAAACTGAGCCACTGTTATCCGCAAATGTTTTTTTCTTGGTTTTCTCGTCAGGAATTTTATTGACCAGTTGTTCCAGAGTCCTCAATCTTTCCATCAAGTTTTTGTTGAACACTTTTCTCTCCTATTTCGTTTCTGCAGCACATCTCTCAAATGATCCCTGAAAGGTGACACTTTTCCTTGGTCGCCCTCTGCCTTTCAGCTTTCAGTTCCTGTCGGACCCCGAGGACAGCTAGCACCAAGTTTACCGCTGTTTGTTATGATTAACTGAATACCAAGAGACAAGGACTGAGGAGTGAACAAACTTCAAGACAGAGAATACATTTAACGTGATTTTATTTACAGTGGGTAATACAGCACATCAGGAACCCTGAGGAGCAAAGACACGAGTTAGATGTTTTCCAGAAGGAGGATGATATTGTTGGTAGATTTCAGATCTTACTGTAGGTTGGGTAGTAGAGTGTGTGGTTGGAAGGCGAGGAAGACAGCTGAGGAGACAAGAGATTTCCAGGGGTTCTTCAAAGAAGTCCAGGCACAGTTAGTTCATGAGGAGAGATACTGTAAATAGCAAAAGGAACACAGGTAAGTCTCTCTCAATGATCATAGAATCCAAAAGGGCTAGACGCACGACTGAGCGGCTTCGGATGTTATCAGTCCATTAAATGGCCGTTATTAGTTGTTATCATCTCCATATGTAGCGGTCAAACTGTCCCACCTACCTCCTAGTAGGTTTAAAGTTACGTTATTATCGTTATTATTGCTGATAATAGGCAGCGTCACATGGGGGTAAACCAGGAAGTGTCTTTTTAGTTGTTTTCAGCTTATGTAACCCTTTTCCTAAGCGTAAGCTTACACCTGACCCTGAGGACCAACCCTAAACTTAACCCCCTTGTGCCTAAACCTAACCAAGACCGTAAACCTAACCGCCAGACCCTTTACTCTAAACCTAACCACGTGAAGCTATTATGAGTGCTAACAAAGCTAAAAATAGAGCCTATTATCATCGCTAACAATGCTAACAACGTACTTTTAAACCCACTGGAAGGTACAGGAGGGGCAGTCTGACCGCTACATATGGAGATGATAACAACTAATAACGGCCATTTAATGGCTGATAACATCCGAAGCGGGTGGACGACTATCAGAGGCAGATAATGCTCCAGCGGCGAGGAGAAGTCATCTACTGCTTTTTATACTTCTGCTGTCTCACTAAGGAGATTATCTTCAGGTGTGGAAATGCTGGCACCATCTAGTGTCTTCAGAGCAGCAGGAAAAACTGGAACACCCATAAAGTTTCTCACTTTTCTTGAAGGAGATGAGATCTTTCACTCTTCTACTGCATCTGTTGCAGTTTCACTGTGTTTTTGTAGTAGCACCCGAGAAGGTTTGATGTTCAACATTTCTTCTGTTTTCTGAGCTAAAGCCATTTCTGCTTGTTGAGCAGTGAGAGATGTATGAGACTTTTTTTTTTTTAAAAAAACAGATGCCTTTTTCTCAGCTATTTGTAATGTGAGCTGGTTTTGAAGTTGCTCCACATCCTGTTGAAAACCTCTTTCACTCTTACATTATTCAAGTTGACTTTTGAGTGGAAATATTATTTTTTTCAGATCAGTTTTGATCTGATTCAGCTCAAAACTGGTTGGTAATGTTTTCAGTCTCCTCTCTCTTAATATTTTCTTTGTCAGTTTTGGTTTTCCTCTGACTCTACAAATCATCAGCTGCTCAGTGCAGAACCATCATATTGGAAAGTTTACAGCTCATAGTTTCCACCTGGATGATAAGTTCTGCATTTTGTTGTTCCAGACCAGAGATCTTTTCATCTTTAAGAGTCAGTTTTTGATTAAATTTGTAATCTGACTCCATGACCAAAGTTTCACTGCTGGGATGGGACAGATGTTATGCCCGGCTTTCTCCTGCAGGCTGGTGGAAATCTCATTATCTAGAAAATGGAAGGCAGGATGTTTTTGTTCTCTAGAGATAATTCAAGTTCTGGAGATGGTTCCACCCACTCTGGTTTGGATCCACTTGCTGTGTGATAAAGAAGCAAAAGTGTATCACTTCAAGGGAAAACAAAAACTCTTTAATTAATTTTATAGTAATTTTCAAATAAACAGATTTGTTTTCCTCTGCTTTTTCTTCACCATTTCTCTTCTTTTATTACTTAAAATCCACGTTATCCATGTTGTGCTGCTGACTATCCATGCTGCTGATCTCATGCTGCTGATTTATTTCATCCTGCTGTGTTCATTTTTACTTATCTGCTCACACAGACTCATGTTCGTGCTGCTGTTGTTCAGCATATTGTGTTTGTACTACTAGTGCTTAGTGTATCTTTTGTGTATTTCTTAGTTCATGTCTTAGATCTTATTAAAGTTTTTTCTTGTACAATTTATACTTTTGTTGGATGTAACTGGGTGTCCACAATTTCATTCCATCACATGTACTTCATGTGGTGTGAATGACAATAAAGAAACGTGACTTACCTAAAATAGCTAAAGGTTCTTCTTCTTCTTCTTCTTCTTCTTCTTGTGAGAGGAGGGTGTGTGGAGGAGCTGAAGGAGGAAAGTGAGAGTGATTGATACTTTTTCTATATCTTTTTCTAATATCTTTTTCACTTGGTGTTTTTTATGTTACTTGTTTAGGTGTGGGTTTTTGTAGTTAGTTTGACAAAGTTTTAGGGTATTGTTTGGTGAGGGCGTGGCTGTCAGGTGCTCCTGGCTGGCCAGCCTGAGGGGAAGCCATGGTGGCTGGAACAGGTGGATTCTCCACACTGACTCGGAGAAACGGCGTCAGGGTAGGTGCTGGCTCTCTGTGTAGTGTGGAGGAAGTTTGTTTGGCAGTAGGAAAAGTAGTTGGATATGAGTCCATTAAGTTTGCAGCCCGAATGAATGGGGCTGTAGTCTTGTTTTTGGAGAAGGTGGAGCAGGCCCAGCAGTTGGTTGAGGCTGGCATTTCAGTTGGTGAATTGTTTTTGCAAGTGTCACCACTGGCAATGCCAGCCACTAGAATTACCTTATCGAATGTTCCACCGTTCATTAGCGATGAGTTCTTAATTAAAGAACTGTCACGGCACGGGAAGGTAGTCTCCCCAATTAGGAAAGTGCTTTCGGGGTGTAAGTCACCTCTGCTGAAACACATTGTCTCCCATAGGAGACAACTATTCATGCTACTGAATAAGCGGGGGGAGGACCTGAACGTGCGATTTCATGTGAAACTGGATGATTTTGACTATATTTTATTTGTGACTTCATCCAGCATGAAATGTTTTGGGTGTGGTCAGGAGGGGCACATCATAAAAATGTGTCCCAACAAAGCTGGGCCAGCCCCGCCCGATGCAACACAGCAGCAACCTGCTGCTGCCGAACAGGGGGGGGACAAGCCCGATTACAGTGGGGAGGCAGAGCTGCCCGCTACAGTGGGGGAAACCACAGCTGCAGTGACCCCCAATAAGGTGGACCGTCCAAAACACAGTGTTGAAGAGCCAGCTGTAGAAGGTGACAAAATTGAAGAGAACAGTGTGTGTGTGGAAAAAGGGGGCACAGAAGGTTGTAGTGGTGGGGAGAATGGTGGTGGTGATGGGGTGAATGGTGGTGGTGATGGAGTGAATGGTGGTGGTGATGGAGCGAATGATGGTGGTGATGGGGTGAATGGTGGTGGTGATGGAGTGAATGATGGTGGTGATGGAGTGAATGGTGGTGGTGATGGGGTGAATGGTGGTGGTGATGGGGTGAATGGTGGTGGTGATGGGGTGAATGGTGGTGAAAGTGAAGTGGTGGAAGGGAACAGTGTGCAGGGAAAAAAGGAGGGGGTGAGGGGCGATGAGGAGTATTTAGTGTGTGAAGGTCAAGGTGAGAAAGAAGAGGTGCAGGCAGATGGAAACAATGAAGGACAGAACAGTGCAGAGTCACTTCATTTTGAAGTTGAGAGACAGACAGGTGAAACAGAGGAGGCGATGGAGTTGGAGGTTCCGACCCCGTCCCAAAGGCGTAGCAAAAGGAAGAATGTGGTAGCTGCTGTGCATGCCAGCAAGCAGGCCAGTAAGTTGGCTGCAGAAAAAAAGGGTTTGTCAGACAGCAGCGACGCTGAGAGCTATTTCTCTGACAGCAGTGAAATCTCTGTGTCACAAATGAAATGCAAAGAGCCTAGATACCCTGTAGAGTCTTTTAGGAATTTTCTGAAAGACACTAAAGGATTCAGAGGGTTAAAGATTGACAGTTTTTTTCCTGATTTAAAATTGTTTTATTTCTCAGCGAGGTATCACATCAGAAACAAAGAGGTATCAGGTTTTACGGACACAGAAGTTTTTAGACTGAAGAAAATAATGACCAAAGTGAGAAAACAACTTTGAACTACACGATGCACAGAAGTATTTTATTCTCTTTTATAGTCTTTTGGTTTTCTGTTTTTAGCTTCTTACCCAATATGGATTCTTTTAAAATAGCTTCTTTGAATCTTAACGGGGCGAGGGAGGCTGAAAAACGGGCTTTAATTTACCAAACTTTAAACCAAAAGAAAATAGATGTTGTTTACCTACAAGAAACTCACAGTGATGGTTTAATGGAAACAGACTGGGCTAGAGAGTGGAGGGGGGAGGTCATTTTAAGTCACGGCACCTCCAAGAGTGCAGGGGTGGGCTTCCTCTTTTCTAGAGCTTTCACCCCAAACTCTACAGAAATTGAACACGTCATTCAGGGGAGGTGTCTTTTAGTCAGGACACAGTTTGATCATTTTAGTATAGTTTTTATTAATATCTACGCTCCCATCACCAATGCAGAGAAAAAGCGTTTTTTTGAAAAAATTGGGGAAAGGTTGGGTGATTGTGGGCCTGAAGATTATGTTTTTATAGGAGGGGATTTTAATTGTACAGAAGACGAGTTTTTAGACCGTAATCATGCAGAGCCGCATCCAGCGGCCCAACACGCTCTGCGGCGGCTGGTCTCTTCTCATGGCCTGGTGGATGTATGGAGGAGGATGCACGCAGGCTCCAGGCAGTACACGTGGTCCCACATTAAGGAAAACCGAGTCTCTTTGGCTCGACTTGATCGTTTTTACTGTTTTAAACATAATTTTAATGTGTTTAAAACATGCCAGATTTTACCAGTAGCTTTTACAGATCACTCGTTACTTTTAGGTAGTGTTTTTATTAGAAACATTTTACCTAGAAGCGCTTACTGGCACTTTAACTCAGCTCTGACTTACGATCAAGGTTTTAAAGAGGTTTTAAGTTATTTTTGGTCTTGTTTTAGACAGAGAAAGGCTGATTTTAACTGTCTGAAACAATGGTGGGACTATGGGAAGGTTCAGATAAAACTACTGTAGTGAACTTAATCTGGTGTCACGACTAAGCCTAAGGTCAAAACCCTTGACCTTAAGAACCTTGTGGGACAGGAACTGTCATTTCATTGATTTGAATCCAGAAATACAGGTTCACCCATCCTGAGACTCTCTTTCTTGATAATCAAGTGAAAGAACACTCTCTTTTTTATTATCATTACTATTTTACAGATGTTGATAATCAAAGTGTCTTAGTTCAAACCATTTTAGATGTTGCAGTGAACTAATCAATTTTATTAACTGTGTAATGATTTTTAATTCTCATGCAAAGTTAGAACTCATGTTGAGGTCTGTTACAGATTTTTATGCATTTTCTGATTTCTGCCTTTGAATGAGCAAGTGTACGTTTCCAGGGTCAGGAGTGAAGCAGACATGCGTTGGAACAACTGTCCTGTTTATATCCTCTCAGACGTCAACAGGGGGTTTTGGCACCTGTTTCTTAAACTCGCCAAAACAAAACTCTCTCTGTCTGTGAGAACATTTCTGATCTTTCCATAACAATTCTTGCTGCATTCTAACCTTTTACGTCACAAAACACACCCCGTCTGGTCGGTTCTGGCCAATGGGAATACTCCCAGATGAACCGGGAAAACAGCTCTTTAAAATGTCGGTACTTCCTGGTCTAATCAGTTCTGTTGGAGTTCTGCTGGATACACAGTTCAACCAGTTCTGTGAGAGAAGCCCAGTTCTGGGAGCCGGGAAGATCCTGACATGACAACAGAGCTCTTCCGAGTTCATGGGATTATAACATTTTCCACTGAGGTGAGCTGTGGGAAAACAGAATCTCGCCGCTACTCCGGACGAGTAACAGCATCCTACGGAGACGCTGAATGGGTGCGTTAAACGGAATCTCGCCTGAGACATCTCCAGGTAAAAGAGTCGATTTCACCACCTAAGTGTACTGTAAGGAGAGGCTGA